GAAGGATTCCCGTTAGCGCAACGTGGCCGGGGCTCCTGGATAACAGCCCACAGTGCCTGCCTCCTGGGGGCTCTGCCGACCTTCCTGATGGTTGGACTGATGCTGCTTCCTCTGAGCAGACCACAGTGTAGAACAGCCGGCTGACCTCATACTACCTACACATCCTCCGCAGCCTGCTACAGGCATCCACAGGCCTGAGCTCCTTCAGAAAGTAGAGTCTGCTCTGGCCTTTCCTCTCAGTCCAGCTTGCTGTTCAGCTGGATCCTCCGGTTCCTCCATTTTCTCCCCAGATGGTGACAGGTCTCCACCAGTCCACCACCAGCTCCTTCGTCTTGCTGATGTTAAGCTTAGGTTAGCTTCCCTCCATAATCCAAAGACTTGCAGTGATATGAGCTGGAAGCTTTACATTTTATATAACCCACTGTGTGATTGAGGGTGTGTTAGTGCCCCATAATGGGCTGGCATCTGATTCATGGTGTAGCCCTGCCTCACACCCAATGCTGCCTGGCACAGGCTACTCCCTAACCCTCAAGCCCCCTCCACCACCCCCCACCCCCCACCCCCCACCATATACTGGATATATTTTTGGAGGATCCATCGATTGATGGATGGATGAAAAAATGTGGTCAAATGACAGGATGTTTTCTCACAAACAGAAAATTGGTCATTAATAGAACAGTTCAGAGATACATTTCATTACCTAGTAGGGAATATAACAAATTATACAAAATGACAAATGTGGCAGTAATAGAATTAGTATCAAACCCTGTTATCGTCACAGTGTGCTGCAAAGTGATATGTGTCTGATTTTCACTGCATTTTCCCGACAGAAACCCCTGATGGCTGGACTGCTGTGATAGTTTTAAAGCCACAGTGCCTGTCTAAACCTTTTTTGTTCAGTAGGATACATTATCCCGATAAAATAGCCAATTTCATACTAAATTTAGGGTATGAAAATGGATGTCTTGAATATCGCAGAGTAGATGTTGTTACAGTTCTTCCCACAATGCATTCTAATAGCTCCCTCCAGCATACATAAAAGAAATTTGATGTTTCTCTTTAATATGTCAACTTCACTTGTATGTCGCTAACCAAACGAGAAAGGACATTCTCTGTTTTTCCGTTGTCCGGAGGGGGTTGTAGGCCTTCTGACTTTATTCAGTGATGTCTGCCTGTCTGTTCTGCTATCCCAAGTCTTCGCCTCTCCCTCTTCAACCTTTACAGTTCAAACCTGGTATTTTGTCTAAAATAAAGCACATTTTCATCCAGCTGTTTAGCTGTATATTTCACTGGAACACTTCCAGGTAAGTAGCCTGGGAACCATACTGGAGAGCCATCCATCCTACCGAATTATGAATGACCACATTAGCTGCTGCCCTCTCATGTATCAGGCGTGAACATTATGTACTGGGGAGTGTTTTTAGGAGTATTTTTAGGATTTATGGACTTCAAAATGTGACTGTTAAAGGGTACTGTGGCTGTCAGTTTTCTGCAATGGGAGCTTATACTGTAGCTTTAACCTGGTCCCAAGCAGCAAATTCAAGCCTGTTAAATGGCCAGGTGGTATATGGAATCAAGGAATCATCACTTCACCATACCCCACTTTGATGAAGCAAGTGACTTTAGAAAAAATGCCTTCTTCCGTCATATAAATGATATAAAATAAAGCTGGAAGTACACCTTTCTTTGTTCTCGATAGTATTGAGTGAATATTATAGGGGGCTATTTTGAAACTGCAGTCTAATCTACTGCTCTAATCCTGTGGCATCACTGAATCATGGAGCAGTATCGGATGGTGTGAGACCCTCTGAGAAACGACTTGGAACGTTGTCAGTTCAAATCCCACGACTGGCAGTGTGACATCACCACTGGGCCCTTGAGCAAGGCCCTTAAGCCCAGTTGCTCCCGGCACTAGCTGACCCACCCTCTCGCTTGTTTGTCACTTTGAACAAAAGCTTCTCTTAAATAGATGAATGTGCATGACGCGTCCTCTTCAAAGGCATGTTTTTTTCCCATTCATAGCTCCAGAAGCATGACCGTGAAGACCAAGAGACTCCTGACAAGTGGAGAACAGAGGAGGAGATGGAGACAGAGGCCTCCTATCTAAGGAAACATCTTGACTGGGCCCAACCCTGACAGGTATCCGACCAGAATGGGCTCAGCCACATGACAAATATAGCTTCAACTTTAAACTTACTCTTATTTTTTCCCCATCTACAGCATCCTTGGATTCTTCTTCAGGCCTAAACTTTGCAGCTATTGGCTGCAATGACATCCAACTGGAATAATAATAAATACGTATTAAAGTTCTGCTGTTTAAATATGGCGTGTGCTGATTTGTATCTTTACCTTCCTAACTTCAGATTGTGGTCTTTCGTGGGTCTCCTGTTAACCTGGCCAAGCACTGTGTGTGATATAACCTCATACAAACTGACCTTCTGGCACAGTGCCTGCAGGTCCCGCCCAGGCAGCAGCTCTGTCTTGCTTCTGAACAAGGTATTCTACCTGAGCTGCTACGTAAATATAAATACAGAAGCATCCAGTTATAAACGGCTGACTGTTTATGTTAGATTGCCATGTATAATACTGTTAAACTAAAGATCAGCAGGATGACGCATCCAGGGCCTTCGGTGATAAAACAGAATAGGAGGATAAACAAAATTCCTTAAAAGTCATCTGAAGAAAACAGGAGAGCTCTGAGTGGTGACTGCCCTGTGCTTTCTACTGCACATACCAATTTGTTTGCAGTGCACCCAGTTCAAACAATTAAAAAGAACCATAACAACGGTTCCAGGAGGCTAATAATGACCAACATCTGTTCAATGACGCTGTTAAGACTGTTAAGTCACATTCGTCGTGCCAGAGGAGACGACTTAAGGTGCTGATGATTAGCAGAATGTAGCTGATGAGCCTTCAGACTCACATGCATTTATTTCCCTCATGAAAAGATTAATTCATAAACGAGTGCCTCTTGTGCAAAACTGTTCAAAGAGGGTCGAAGGGGCGTGGTGCACCGTCCAGTGATACGTGATGACCGTCATCGGCAAAGTTACCACGGGGGGGCTCAGAATGGAACTCACCGCTGGACTGGGTGACTAATAAATACTGAAAAGAAACACTCACATACACACAAACAGAGGTTTGAAATTACATCTTTGTGGGGACTCTCCATTCATTTTTATGGGCATAACCCTAATCCCAGCATTTTTAGTTTTTTGATTGCAGTCACAGATCTTTGTGGGGACCTGAAAAATGCAGGTTTTTATTAAATTGTGAGGAACATTTGACCCCCACAATGTAATATAAACATAATCCACACACACACACAAACACACACACACACACATTTGTATTCATATCCTTGTGGGGACTGTCCATTCCTTTCTATGGGCATAACCCTAATACCAAAATTGAAACCTTAACCAAGCCCGAAAATTAGCCATAAGTAAGCAAAGAAAATGCAGGAGTTTTTGCATTTTTAGTTTTTTGTTTGCAGTTACGGATTTTTAGAAAATTGCATTTTTCCTTGTGTACATTTCGTCGCCAAGAGGTAGACCACACACACGTTTGCATCCATATCTTTGTGGGGACCATCCATTAATTTCTATGGGAAAAACCCAACAATGACAAGCTTAAGCTCTACCAGCCCTAGCCTTAACCATAAGTAATCAAACAAAATACAAGACCTTTGGCATTTTTAATGTTTTTAATCATGCTTCACATTTTAATCTAAGCGAGAAAATTAACACACAAAAGGGATTTATTTTGTCTCACTTGCACTATATAATTGTATAGGCTGTAATGTTATTTTTTTTAGTCATAAGCACGCTGTGTCGCCTAGTCCGCGGTGAACGATGACTGTCAGTCCTAAGCAGCAATGGGAGAGAATGGGGCCACGTACCAAAGACAGCGAGATCTCGGCAAACGCGCGGCGTACGGGCGCCGCAGAAACGGGACCGAAGCCGAGAAGCGGAGACATGCAGCCGTGACCATGCAGGCGAGTTTGCTGCGGCGGGGTGTCTCATTCCATCATTATTACCGACTCATCTCGGGCCGATGGTTTTGTTCACTTACAAATCAATGCAGCAGTTTTACGAGCACAGCGTGTAACGAACAGCTCACCGTCAATATGTCGCGGGATTTTTTTTTAATTAAAATTTTAAAAATAAAATTTAGGCGTATTTGCCTACTTATAAAACCGATACCAAAATGAAACGCTCCGCTGTAATATTTATGGTGATATTTTGCTGTCTGTTGACAAAAACACGTAAACAATATGCACGTTTGCAAACGAACAGAGAAACGGGATGCAGGCGTACAAAATCATCGCTCTGGGATCCGGTTACTTTTTAAAGCTATTTAATTATTAACATACCAACACGTAATATTTTATGCTGATAATGCTTACCATCTAGCGATTGTGAAAAGTTCTATACGCGACTTTGAAAGTGTGATGGTAGGCTAATTTATGAATTAGATAACAGAAAACATTATATATGCATGTGTGTGTGAATATATATATATATATATATATATATATATATATATATATATATATGTGTGTGTGTGTGTGTGTGTGTGTGTGTGTGTGGTGTATAATGTGCGTATATATATATTTTATATTATTTATATTATTTATTATATATATATATATATATACATATATATAATATATTGTATATATTATATTTTGTGTATTATAAGAGTCTGTGTGAACTCGTATAATTTACCTAACCATGAACGTTCTCTGTAAATGTATAAGCATTTCATATATGAAACCTAATGTAGCGCGAGCGAGCTCCAAACGAGTTGGACATACCTATAATATTTGATTGTATTGCTATCGTTTTCACTTCATGGGGCAGACGGACCTGGGTGCGTAGAAAGCGCTAAAACGGCATAAAAACGTGTAAGGACGTTAGTGCATAACAAACCAGCTGTTTGACAGGGATCACATACCTGTACGGCCTCATCCTTATTAACACCCCCCCCCCCAAAAAAAAAAAAAGAAAAAAGGAGAAAAGAAAAAGAAAGCCATACAAATCACATTGAAGCGCGCAGCGGGGAAAATCGGGCACCGTTTGTGTGTCGGAATCTGTGCATGCTACATATCACTACACAATATGAGACCTTATGAGGAAAAAACCTTCACTACTTTACTGCAAGTGTAAGTGTTGTGTCAGGGGAGTATTTGTGGTGTAAACTTAAGGTCTCATATAATCTGAATTTGCAACATCTTTGCACGGGAATAAATAAATGCATCACCCGTATATATTTTTTAAATATATAATATAATATATAATATAAATATAAATTATGGATTACTGCATTTTAGCAATGGCTTGACATAAAATTTAGTTTGCCACCTAAATAACAGGTATAGTATCAGATCGCAGCACTGACCGAAACATGGACAGTGAAAGCGAAACTTAGCTAGCTGTCTCATCTTCTCAGAATCAGCTGACGGTTTTTGCTTTTAACTACATTAAACTTAAATAATCGAGCCATATAACCACTAAAACAAGAACTGCAGTAGAGAAACTACTTTTTAGTAAAAAAAATCCTTTAAGTTGTGTTTGTGTTTAACAAATTGTAGAAAATTCATGAATTTTAAACAATGACATTAAGTGTGAAAGATTCCTTGAAACTGGAAACTCACAAAGTAAAGGGAAGAAATAAATCAAAATCAGTTCCATTTCATTTAGATTTGCTCACATTACAGAAAACAATTGAGCACAATATGTAGATTCCTATGCAAACCATCCACAAGCCGCACTGACAATACTAAATAATGCTAAATAATCCTTCCTGTATTTCACAGGAGCACTGATGTCTTTTCAGTATGATTTTTTCCATTATTGCAATATGAAATCATTAGAAGATATTAAACACGGGTATCTTAAAAGCATTCTGAATATAATTAAGCATTTACAATGTATTTTAAATGTATTAGATATGCTGTGGAATTTCAATTAAAAACCCACATCCGGATTTCATTATACAGATTTCACAAGGGCCATTATTTACTAATGTATGGTTTAATTACTTTTCTGGCATGGTTATAGCTCTTAATGACTAATATATATTACAGAGGGTTAAATGGTCATTGCTATAACAGCATAATGAATCTGTTTATTTACTGGTAGCTAGAGAATATTCTTTAAAAGTGCTATTACAGAGTAGCTTAATAAAAACAAAGTTTTTCATGAACACAGAAAGCATTCATTCAGCTGTCAGGTGATCTTATTTAATTACTTTTTTTGTTTTCTTGCTTTTCGCAGAGTTGTACACTAATGTAATACTTTTGATTGGGTGCAGTTCAAATCTAGCGCTACTCTGGAGAGTGAAAAATGTGGCACATCCTGATGAAAATATGAGAAAAATTGACAAGCTGCATATTTTTTTATCTACCCATCAATTTTCAAAAAATAGTTATGCAGGTGAGAGATGTTTTAGTTTCTTGTTCTATGAAAAACATCGTGAAAAACCCAATAATGCATTTACAACACAATGTCTGTGCACTCCCTTCGGAGTGTCGTACTCACACACCGACATAACACATACCGAATTTGCGCGTGGTAAGCACGTCACAGATTGCAGAGCCGCGCTCAGTCTGAAGACGAGACAGATTTTAAACGTTTTGCAGTACATGCATTTGTATGCTTTGTCCATGGGCGTCGCTTCCATTAAATCTTAGGGGGACGTGTCCCCCTCACATTTCATAATTATTTGTTTGGACCCCCCCCACATTTAAAATAAAATATTAGTTTTATGCCAGTGTGTCCCCCCACATTCAAAATGCTTCTGGATATGTTGGTGCGGCTCAGAATAAGTCTTTTTAAAACACTGCGCCCTACCTTAGATGATCTGGGATCGTCGACCATACAACACCATCGTTTAAAGAATAATTGCGTCCGCACTGCTTTATGTTCTATATTATTGGTGACCTGCCATGGGTGTAACACAGACATTTGCCGCTAGAGCGCTGATGAAGGACGGCTCACTAATAATAAAGGACATAAGCCACCTGTGTTTGGACACGATTATTAAATATTTCACCTCACCTGAATGTAACCCTGATATGATTTTGTCCTTACATGTAGTGCTGAAATGATAAAGACTTGATTTAAAATTTCTTTTCACAAACAGCAGATGCTGCTACTTGCATTAACTAAGCAGTATGCAAAACAATTACACTCAGGGTATTTTTTTTTTCAATGAGCACAGACCCACACTGTTTTTCTTCATCATCATAGGATGAGTGCCGAGTTTTCCTAAAGGGTCAGCAGTTGCACTTTGGCAGATACTGCACATGGTTACAAG